TCACCATAATTCTGGCTTTGTATCTCAGCTTCTTCCCGTTTTCTTCATTCTTTAATCTTGTAGACCCATTTATTTTTTAGAGCTCGTCTTCCTTCAGGCAGCTCGGTCAGCTCACAAGTCTGATTCTCGTGCAGAGACTTCATCTCGTCTTGCATTGTCTTTTCCCATTCTTCTTTGTCTGAGCTAGTCATTGCCTCATCATAACTTTAAGGCTCACCGTCTTCAGCAACAACAGTGTATTCATCAGGTGGGTACCTTGTAGAGGGTTTTCTTTCTCGAGTTGGATATCTCGGTTGTTCTTCAGCTTGAGAACCCGGTTCATCATTCTTATCCCGGATCTCATTATCAACTCGGAGCTCAGTATCTTAGTCATCATCAACTTGTTGCTGGTCATCAGTTTCTTCATTCTCTTGATTTTCTCCCCCTGTTTCAGCTCAAACAGGAGGGATGAATTCTTCACGTTTGACAGTAACCCGGACTTTGGGCTTCGAAATGTCATAAATGGTCTCATCTTCATGAAAGATCACATCTCGGCTTCTCGGTATCTTCTTGTTGATTGGATCCCAAAGTCGAAAACAAAACTCGGATTTTAGTGAACCGAGATAAATACATTCCTTTGTCTTTGCATCTAGCTTCACCCTTTCATCTTTAGGAATATGCACAAAAGCTCGGCATCCAAAACCTTTCAATTGATCATAGGTCGCTTTCCGACCTGTCCAGACTTCTTCTGGAATTTCTCCTTCAAGTGGTCGTGATGGTGAGAGGTTGATCAAGTCAACAACAGTTCTGACGGCTTCTCCCCAGAAATATTTCGATAATCCAGTAGTGGGCAACAGACTTCGAAGATTTTCTTCAATTGTCCGGTTCATTCTTTCAGCAAGTCCATTCAGCTATGGAGTCTTAGGAGGCATCTTCTCAAGTCGGATCCCGGTGGCTCTACAATAAGCATCAAATGGGCTACTGTAGTACTCACCACCGTTGTCAAATCAGACCACTTTAAGCTTCTTGCCAGTCTCCCTTTCCACCATAGCATGAAACTCTTTAAAGGCTTAAAGTACCTGATCTTTAGATTTCAACAAATTCACTCACACTTTGCGGGAATGATCATCAATAAAAGAGACAAAATATTGAACTCCTCCAAGGGATCTCTCCGAGATGGAGCAAACATCAGTATGGACGAGGTCAAGAATATACCTGCATCGTCTGGGTTGGTCCGGCTTCACAAACGAAACCCGGTGCTGCTTTCCAGCTAGGGAGTGCATACAACTCTCCAACGCTTGCCCTTTCAACCCGGTCAATGATCCCTTCTTGTTCAGAATTTGGAGCCCTTTTTCGCTCATATGGCCGAGGTGCTTGTGCCACAACTCCAAGCTATGTCGATCTCGGATAGAATTGGCTTCTCCGCTATTGATCTTTCCTTGCATTATGTATAAGGAGCCTTCCTTCTTACCTCAGGCAACAACCAAGTTTCCCTTGGCCAACTTCCATCTACCACTACCGAAGTAGTTCACTAACCTGGCATCATCAAGCTTACCTACCGAGATTAGGTTCAATCGCATGTCAGGAACATGCCTTACATCTTTCAACACAAGTTGGCATCCAAGATCTGTAGTCAGAGTTACATTATCGACACCAACAATCTTGCTGATCACTTGATTTTCCATCTTCACAACTCAAAAATCACTACCTCGGTAAAATGAGAAAAATCCTTTCTGTCGAGTAACGTGGAAAGAGGAACCATAGTCAACAATCCAAGTGCAATCATCATATGCAATATTCAAATAATTATCCTCACCAAGGAGGAATATCTCGGCATCTGAGTTGATAGCCACCGCAGTGGTGTTCTTGTCTTCTTTCTTTTTTGAAATAATCTGATCTGGCTTTACAGTGTCGTTCCTCTCATCTTTCTGCAGAGTCCTGCAGTTCGTCTTCTTGTGATCGGGCTTCCCACAATAGAAGCATTTCACTTCATATTTTGGCCTAGACCGGCCTCTGGAATTGTCACGACCTCGGCTCTTGCTACGACCCCCGGGCTTCGGACCTTCCTCTATTCTTGGTCACATTTGCCTCAGATGTGCTAGTTACACCTCATTTTCTTCTCCTGGATTCTTCATTCAGAAGGCTGTCAGTCACGGCATCCATCTTCAATTTTTCTTCTGGAGCCGAATTACTCAAAGTCACCACCAGAGTATCCCAGCTTTCTGGTAGCGAGCTCAACAGCAGCAAAGCCTGCATCTCGTCATCAATTTTCATCTCAGCTTTTGACAGCTGATTCATAATCCCTTTGTAGGTGTTGAGGTGTTCATTCATGCTCATGTCATCCTTGTATTCCAACTTCACAAGTCGGCGAACCAGGTGTGCTTTGTTCCTAGGAGTCTTCTTTTGAATCATGGACTCTAATTTGTTCCATAATTCGTACACGTTCGTGAACTCGGACACATGCTCAAAGAGACTTTTGTCTATGTATTTTCTGATTGTAACTACCGCCTTACGACTCAGGATCTCCCACTCTTTATCGGTTTTGCCTGCCGGTCTCTCATCAAGGATAGTGGGCTCATGTAAGTCTTTGCAGTAGAGATGATCTTCCATCATCGGTCTCCAATAAGTGAAATTGTCTACGGTCAGCTTGAACATGTCTCCATCATGTGAAAGTCCACCAGTCTCCATCTTGTCTCCTTCAGAACCCTTCGAACTCGGGCTTTGATGCCACTATTGGGTCAAGTCGGACCCTCAAGTCAATTGCGGAAGCGAAACAGTAAAATGCAAGATGAGAGAGATGAAAAAGAACATGGTCGATTTGTTTAATGTGGAAAAATCTTCTCCAATGTGAAGAAATAAAAATCCATGGGACACTAGTTCATAATCAAACTTCCACTGTAAGAATAATGGGTTACAACAACCAAACTTCCCTAGAAACTTCACTTACAATGGGGTAATATCAATCTTCCCTAAAGAGGTCTCACTCAAACTTCTCTCTAGAGGTATTCAAATTCTTTTTATATCTCTAAACCTCACACTACAAGCTTATATAGGGGAGGGTGATGATTCTAGAAATTGAACCACTCAAAGGATGTGTCCTTTGAGTCTTGCACCTTCATTTATGGAGAGACATTGAACCACTCAAAGGATATGACCCTTGAGCATTGCATAAAAAATGGAGAGTTCTAATCTCTTGGGACTTGAGCCACGTATTGAAGAAGGAACAACTCCTAACAAAGCCAAACAAAAAAAAAAAAATTTAATTAAAGAAAAAGAATGTTTGGACAAAGAAAAAAAGAGAGACAAGTTAAGGAAGGGAAAATATCTACCACACGAGATAAAAGAGATTGTTTTTTTTTTTTTTTTGAATTATGAGATTAAAGAGATAGTTTATTTGAAGAGAGAGAAGAAAGAATGAAAAACTAATGAGATTCAATGTGCTTGAATCCATAGATAATCAAATGGTACAAAGCAATATAACTCGCCCCTCATAAAAGTTATGTACTTTTCTAAAAAAATTTAAAGTTCAATTTTATTACAAAAAACGTAATAATTGTATCATGAAAATATCTAATCGAAATGAATGCTGGATCAAAAGGTAAAAACACGGATGAATTTATCCACTTCTTACGGAAATTTCTTGAATGCTGGGTATTTTTTTTTGAATGGAGTTTTTTTTTTTCATTTAAATTCTTTTTTTTCTTTTAAGTTCCAAATTTTTTTCTTATTTAATAAAAAAAATATCTAACGTTGCTTGAAATAACTATATTTAATATTCATCGAAACGATATTGTTTTAAATTGAAAAATAAAAAATTAGAATAATATAAATTATTATAATACTGAAATAAATTAAAATTATAAATATATCATAAATTTTATCCAAAATAACGTGATTTTAGATAAAATTATTTAAAATAGCTAACCAAAAAATATAAGTACACGGAATGTATTAGAAGTTTTCCCACTTCTTACACCCTTTTATAAAAAAGGTGCTTTTTTTCCGCTGTCTGCGTCATTTTTTTATGCAGCAAACACGAAAAAAATGGCATCTGCCTGTTTTAAAAAAATAAAAACTAGGATATATTTTTTACGAAAAAGCTTATACTTACAACCTAATTTTGTTTACAACCTCCTACAACTATATCTTAACTCCGTTGATTTTCGCCAATCAACAATTATTATTATTTTAAATTAAATTCATTAATTAATTATTAATTCACAATAAATAATAACCGTTGAGTGACGAAAATCAACGGTTAAGACATGATTCTAAGAAATTGTAAACGAAAATAGGTTATAACTATAACCTTCTTATTTTTTTATAAGTTGTTACAAAATTTCTCTTCTTCAACTAAGGCAGAAATATATTTCCATGTAAAAAAGAGAAAAAAAAACACAAAAACAAGAAATTTATAAACAATTAGAATAAATATTCTTTTTGATCATCAACAAATTTTACGATGTCCGTTTTAATTCCTAGCAAATAAAAAGTTATTCGTGGTCTCTAAGAAATTCAGAATAGACTCATTTAGTTGAAATCGTGGTCCCTCATAAATTCAAAAAAGACCCACATCTTAAAAGGACTAAAATAGGTTCACTTTAAATTTCTCAGTAATCACGAATAGTCCTTTTATTTGCTAGAAACTAAGATCAACATAATAAAATTTATTTACCACCGAAAAAGATATTTAGTCAAACAACGGAGAATGATCCGTTTACAAATTTTTTTGAACTTTTTTTCAAATTACACTATGTTCTCCTGGGAGAACATAGTGTAGTTTGCAAAAGTTTATATTCTACCAGGAGAATATAGTGTAGTTTGTAGGAGTTCGTAAACAAAAAAGTTTAGTTTGTAAATATAACCTCGCGCGTCAAACAATTATTAAATTAAAAAAAATTGTAAAAAGAAAAGAAAAAGACCGCCACGGTGTGAAAGGAAAGACGTGATGAAACAAACATAAGCAAAAGTCCAAAGCAGACGAAACTGGTGAAATAATTGACTTGTTTGCAGTTGTGTCTTGTCTTATGAATGAGAAGAAGACTCTTCTGTTCTCTTGCATATCAAAAAACAAAAACAAAGAGAAAACAAAGAATATGGGAATGGCAGTAGCAGGAGTTGATTTGCTTAGTGAAAAAGCCTTAGCCATGAGAGAGTCTCTGCAAAAAAGCCAGACAATCACTGACAACGTTGTTTCAATTCTCGGTTCCTTTGACCACCGTCTCTCCGCCCTTGAAACCGCCATGCGTCCTACTCAGGTCATCTCTCTCTCTCTCTTTTCAATGCTTCATCGGAAATTCAACTAATCTAGTTCGAAATGTTGGATCCATATAAAAACGGTTGGATTGGATCCATATAATAGTAGATCCCTGTATAAGGGTGACTCTCTTCGTAACCGTTTTGTCGATTCTATAACTGAACTAGAGATAGCTCCTTTACCACTTCAGCAATAACAACTGATTTAATTTTTTTTTTTTTATTTGGGTTGTTCTTGTTATATTTTGCTTTGCCATTAAGGAATTTTCGTTTTGCCATCTAGATTTTGTTTTTGCTCTTCTTTTTTATTTTTTATTTTTACCTGATTGTGTTTGTTCCTTCTTCTTCTTCTTCTTCATTTGGGGTTTGTAGATTAGAACGCATTCTATTCGGAAAGCTCATGAGAATATTGATAAGACTTTGAAGTCCGCAGAGGTTATATTGGCTCACTTTGATCAATATTATCAGGTTCTTTTTTATGGCTACTATTGTATTTTTTTGTTATTAATCTTTACTGTTTGATTGATGTGTATGTATTGAATTTAACTGATTTATGCATTAAGATGCAACGGTTTTTTCTGGAGTTATGTTAATCTTATTCCTTCCTTTGATTTGGGTATTAGGCTTTAGAATATATTTGCTTTTGTGTGCAAATACTTTACCATGGTCCTCTTCATAATTTGTTATAATCAAATGCAAATGTTCATCTTTAGACAATATGTTATCTGAGAATGAAGTCTTTCTTACTGCGTATGCACCTGCAGTCATCTGTTGGATCATCTTCAAAACAATGTGTTTGGCCTTTGCTTTTATTTGATTGCTATAGGATTGACTGGAACAATTTCCGGCTAGGTAAAACCCGATCAAACTGAAATGATAGAGGCTGTTGATATAGCAGAGGCTAAATAAGTAATTACAAAAAACACAGCAGTTTGATGCCTACAACATTTGTGACATATTTCCTCAAAGGAAGTCAAACTGTATGAAAAGCATGTTTAACTCTTTTAAAGAAGAGTTTTCAAAACTTTCCCTCTTCGTCTGGCTTGGATGATTGTGAATCTAACAACAAGAAGCTCCAAGCCATATCCTATTGGGCTCTGTAAAAATCTTTGGTAGTTGGTACACTACTATTACTACTACTTGTCTTCCTACCCCAGTAGAGTGTAAGTAACAAAAACTATGGATACCTAAATAAGTTCATAAATAGAAGATAGAGAAAGGATAACATCATCTATCAAATTGTCCAACAAACCGTCAAATATCAAAATGGATCACATCTTACTACTCTATCTGGACAACACCAGATTTACTGAGAACTTTACGGAGCCTGTTGCATTTTTTAATGCTAATCTACAATTCAAAAACAATGCTATCAGCTGGTCAGAGCATAATTCCGAATTTGACTGCAAGATTTTCTCCCTAATTAAGCCACCATGTGTGAGTTACTGATTAGATGTTTTGATAATTTGCATGAGGTCATAGGTTCAAACCTGTATGTTGTGATTGTACTGAATAAAAAGAGATTCGCTCCCTAAATTGGTTTCAGGAAAGAATTACTTTTTTGGCTTTCTGCTAATTTTAACTGGTTTGGTTAATGAGGTCGCTGGCAATAAGAATAACATCACACCAAAACAAAGGGGAACATTACCATGAAGTAAGAGTGTCCTAGTGGTTTAAATGACAATATTTAGAAGACTTCAATTAAGTTTTGTTGCTTCTTTTATGTTCCTCCAATCCTTGTTTGGAACGATAATGATAATATATTTAATTATGAATGACTGTCTTTATCTTTGAGCATTTATATGTGTAGTGTATCTATATAACAGATTTTTGCATAGGACTTTGCTGTTGCACTATACTGCTACCTGCCACAGTGCTATTCAGTTTTCGAGGGTTGGCCGCTTCCCATGTTTGATACTATTCAATTAAGGAGATGTATTTAATGTGTACAGCCCAGATAACCTATACCCCTGTAACAATTCTTGAACCAATCAGACATAATAAGTTCTCTTCTCTTTTGTTCTTGCCTGTGCTGAGTGACAAAGCATGACATAGGCAATTACTGTAAATAGAGAATGAATATATTGTATGTGTATCAAATGATCTGTTTGGCCAAACTTTGTAACAATTTGGAAAGATAAAAGGTGGAAAGTTTTTCATACTTAAATATGATTTGCTGGAAGACATCTTAAAGAATTTTCTTTTCCTTGTAATATGTGGTACAGATATATCTTATTCTTATGGTTTGTTTCCTCCTATGTTTTATGTTTTTTTTTTTTTTCATGGTTTTTTTGTTCTCATTGATCTAATATACAGGCAGAGGCAAAAATAGTTAAAGGGCCACATGAAGATGTGGAGAAATATCTTGAAGCAATTGATCAGCTGAAAAGCAACATTATATTTTTTGGCAGTAAGAAAGGTTTTAAGAGTGGTGATGGTATTGTCAGCCATGCCAATAGTTTGATAACTAAAGCTATTTCTAAGCTAGAAGATGAGTTTAAGCAGCTGTTATCATCTTACAGGTTTGTATTTCTTTGCTTAATTTTGTCGATCTTTTGGCATGTTCAGCCAAAAGTTCATTTGCTTGCATGAACTCAATAACCATTGATGGTTTGTGTCAGGTAAATGACTATTCCTTAGATAAATCCACCATTAATGCAAAAACAAAGCAGCAGCCTTTGTAACGGTCAAATCTTTTATTAACTCCTCGCTTCCAATATCTAAGACTTTGTTCTCATCATTTTTGGTTATTTTTATATGAACAGGATAGGTCTTACAACTAATATCTCCTAATGTCTGAAATGTAAATGTTAAAAGACTTTTGAAATAAATTTAATCCATTTTTGAAGTTTGTATTGATGCTGCCCTCCTATACCATCTAACTGGTTTTTATACTTCATTGAGTAGCAAGTTTTGTACTTTATAACTTTAAAAGTTTCTCGATTTTTCCATGATTCTTGGATTGGTAGCAGCTTGATGGTATACTTGATAATATTATTCATAGAAATATCTTCAAATTATGTAGGATAATCGTTTACCTGGTAGAAGAGTAATGGTAATCTTGAGGCTTCTTTGACATTCTGCCTGACAAAATGGTTGTTTAGTGAACCTGTATTTACTGTTTTTCTTTGCCTTTGTGAAAATTATATTCACGTTACCTTTCACTCATCTATTGTTCTGTGTATTACAGCAAACCTGTGGAACCTGAGTGCTTGTTTGATTGCCTACCAATCTCAATGCGACCTTCATCAGCATCACCTGGCCATGAAGGTGATCCTAGTGCCAAGAATCATTCTTCTACTGGAACCAATAGCCATTCTGATCCACATAAAAATAATGCTGATGGCGTTATATATACACCTCCTGCTCTTGTACCACCAAGAGTTTTGCCACTGCTCCATGATTTAGCCCAGCAAATGGTTCAAGCTGGTCACCAGCAACAGTTGCTCAAAATTTACAGGTAGAGCTCATTTTTCGCTTGATTGTTTTCTTGCAATAGAAAAAGGAAATTGCCTTACCATGGTCCTCTTTTTGCAAATTGCAAAAGTACCCTGAACTGAAAATTATAAGTTTCTTAAGCTTTTCATCAATTTCAGTCCTGTTACAAGTACAGAAAAGATTAAGGAGTGTATTATAAATGAAGTTTTGACCTTTAAAGCAAGGGTAATTAACGTTGGATTGATTCTAGGTGATTGATTGACAACTATACACTTGAGACTTAGAATTCTGAATCTGAATATTTTTGCTTATTTGCTCATATACAAATTTTTACAATATACAGAGTAATGCTGGTTCAAAAGTCAGAGTTGTTGGTACAAAACACAAGCCAAACATTGTTGGTACAAAAATTCAAAGGTGGCTCAATCACCTATTGATTAATTACACATGTTGTTATATATTTACAACACTCCCCCTCAAGCTAGTTAATGAATATTTTTCATTCCCAAATTGCTAGAAAAGGTCTAGAAATTTCTCGATGGGAAGTCCCTTAGTTAACATGTTAACAAATTGAAGTCTTGAAGGCATAGTTATTAATAGTGCTGCAATTGTGTGTTATAGCACTGTCGTAGCTGGTAGCAATACCCAGTTGCTATTGGCCACTATACTATGCTACAGTTCATGGTACCTATTGTAACGGCTGCTATTGCGGCCAAATCACAGCCAATCGCAGCACAATGTGCTGCTTCAGAGAAGGGGTTCAAAAATTTCATTGATGTCCCAGTAGTCATATTAAAAGGGTTAAATGGACTTTTAACCCCAATTTTTAATCTGTATCTCTCCACTCTCTTTTTGTGCGTTGACTTTCAACCATGCAGACCACAAAGCTCCTTCTCTCACTCTCGAATCTTAGCGTTTGACATGCTCATCCACTTTTGACGGACGCTGACCAATGACCGGCAGCCGGTGACTCACTTGCAGCAGACTTCGTTGTTGTGCTATACCGCTACTCGCTATAGCACTATAGCGTTTTCTAAGGTCATCCGCTAACAGCCAATACTTGCATTTGATAATCATGCCTAAAAGGATATACAAAGTATTAATCAACCCGCTATCCAATTTTCCTTGATGTAGGGGCATTTGGTCTTAATGTGTTTTGTTCTATATTTCTATCATGTTGAACTTGATTATGAGCTATACAAATGGCATATTCATTATCACAATCAACTTCATAGGTTCTTCATATTTCTCTAAGTTCATCTAGTACAATTTTTAGCCACAATAGTTCACAAATTCCTTGAGCCGTAGCTCAAAATTCAGCTTCTATGCATTAACAAGCTACCATATTTTTTGCTTCTTACACCTCCATGTTACTAATTTCCTACAAAGGATCATATAATAACCTGAGGTTGACTTCTGGTCAGTAATGAATCCTGCATAATCTTCTATTGACTTGTAAGGACAAGTTTCCACCTTTTCCAAATAACTATCCTCTCACTATAGATATTGGATAATTCCATCCATGGCATGCAAATGTCTCCATCAGGTCATGCATGAGTGGACTAACAATATTGACTATATATGCTAAATCTGGTCTACTATGAGCCATAGATATATGAATCTTTCTACCAACTTCTGATACTGCCTTATGTCAACCTTGGGACATTCCGCTTCACTTCCCATTTTGTGGTTCTGCTAAATAGGGACACCAATAGCGGCTCTTTGACTATTTGGGGGCATTTCCATGTGTATTTTACATGTTTGGTAGCCTCGAGAACTATTATCCATTGGGGGTGTTAGGTTCCGTGCCTTCCCCCCCACGGAAATAGTTTATTTTTTATTTTTTATTTATTTTAAGGAGTGTCGTGTAAAGGTACCACAAGGTGATGAGCTTGCCTTATTAAATGGCATAATTATAGAAATAAGGTGTAACCATGCCCTTGTCATTTACTTCTCACTTTATTATTTATTTATTTATTTTATCTACCTTTCCGGTACTTTATCCTTCTATTCCCAAGGCTTAAGGAGTAATTTTTCTTTTTAATTTTGGAAGCAGTCCATGTGGTAGAAGTTAGAAAACTTTGTAACCCGATGAAAATAGAATCCAGAATCTAGATTTAATTTAATGTTTGAGATTTCGCTAATGAGATATTGCATAGAATGGCCCTACAAAAGTCAGGATAATTTCATCATTCAAAGGTATATTTGTAGTGTCAAGCTTAGAAATAGAGGGACTAGTTTCTTCCGTACTTTCCATTGGTTCAAACATTGACTACTGCAATTGGGTCAGTTTGGGATTTCTCCTGAACACCAACTTGGGTAGCCTTCGGTTGATTGATAATAGATGTTTCAGGTGAGGTACTAAGTAGAGTTGCTAATTCCTACTCAGCATGAAGATAGACATGGACTCTAGGATGAAAAAGGACTTTTCTCATGAAAGGCAGCATCTGAAAATTAAAAATTGGTGACTCGGAGGAAGATGGTTTTATTGTACGGCTAATGTCTTTGTTAGTATTTCAACTTGTATTTGATGCACAAGTTTACATACCATGCATATACAAAATGTTCCCCTACATAATAATATATGCATAAGTATCTGTTTATGTCCAAATCTAATGCAGACAATTACTGTCATATGCGAGTTGTATGGTCCTATATATCTGTTTGCAGTGTATTAAGTGTTATCAATATGACTAGTCTTACTGTTGCTATAATTATGGTTATCATCATTATTATTTTGTAGAGATACTCGTTCTAATGTATTGGAAGAAAGCCTGCAAAAACTTGGAGTTGAGAAACTCAGTAAAGATGATGTTCAAAAGCTACAATGGGAGGTTTTGGAAGCAAAAATTGGAAACTGGATTCATTTCATGCGTATTGCTGTAAGAACATTGTCAAATTTGTGCTGTTTTTTATTCTTTATCTTATTTTCATTCAAATATGTATTGTAATTATATTTGAACAGGTAAAATTGTTGTTTGCTGGAGAGCGGAAAGTTTGTAATCAGATATTTGAAGGATTTGATTCACTTAATGATCAGTGTTTTGCTGAGGTAACTACGAACAGTGTCTTCATGCTACTTAGTTTTGGAGAAGCAATTGCCAAAAGCAAGAGATCACCTGAAAAGTTATTTGTACTTTTGGACATGTACGAAATATTGCAAGAGATCCATTCAGAGGTACGTGCTTTTAACATAAAAAATCATGAATCTTGCTGCTACTTTTAGTCCATTGTGTAGGTTTCATAAATCTTACTGGGTTAATTTACTAAGTTTTATTTGATATTCAATGGCCAAATTAGATTCTGCTTAATCCTTAATTCAATTAGAGCAATGATATCCATACAAGGAATTTTCACTAAATCCCTTATGAATGATGCGGCACACCCACTTCACTGATTTTTCTGCTAAAACATAACGAATAGTTTTTTTCTTACAAAGGCAAAAATCACGTAAATCACGCAGTGGTTCTGTATTAACCCAGGAATAATAATAATAATAATAATAATAATAATAGTGTATACCCTTATGTATATCATTATATGATATTAAACATATTGACTTGTTTACCAAAAAAAATAAAATAAAAAAATATTGACTTTGGTATAAAGTAGTGTTATAGGAATAGGCATTGATATATTTATATGTTGAGATTGGTTGTCATTAATTGATACCAGTGTGTCATTATTTTATTATAAAATTATAACATTAATTTGTAGCAATTTTAGTTTGTAACGACTTCAACATTTATTTTTGGGTTATCATTTAATTTGTAACTTTTAGCATTTATTTTTATTATTTAATTTTGTAACCATTAAGATATGGATTAATATTAATTAAAGTAATTATGATTACAATTAATATTACCTACAAATAATGTCATTTTTTCCGTTACAAAACCTCATCTATAAATAAGAGCTTAACCTAACAAATCAAACAATTTCTATATTTTCTCCAATTCCCTACATCTCTCTATTTCCCTTCTCCCACACCTTTCAAATTCTATTGCAACTATTTTTCCCCTTAGTTGCTATCTACGTTTTCCCTTGTGAATCGTTCTTCACTTGAGAAAGCCTTCAAACATAAAGTTCAGGTAATCCCAATCTTTAGGTAATCAGTAGGTAGCTTTATTTGAAATTTGTTATATGTAATCCTAGTCCCTAGAGAGTCATAAGTTAATTTTATATGAATTTTTATAATGTAATCCTAATTCTTAGGGTTTATAGGTTAGTTTTATTTGAAATTTGTTATGTATAATCATGATCTTTAAGGTATCATAGAGTAGGTTTATATGAAATTTGTTTTATGTAATCTTAACCTTTAGGTAATTCTAAGTTCTTTATATATGAAATTTGTTATTAGTAATCCTAATTTGTAGGTTAGTTTTGAATGAATCTTGATTGTATAATCCTAATTTGTAGGCTAGTTTTATTTGAATCTGGATAGGGTAATATTAAACCCTAGAAAATTGTATGTTGGTTATATATAAATTGTGTTGGGAATTTTATTGGGTTTAATCTTAATCGACAGTGACACGGGATACGTTAAATCTAAAAAATGTTAGATTTTGACACGTTAGGACACATTTTGATATTAAATAATATTTTTAATTTATGTAGTGTATATAATATTTAATATTAAAAAATTTAACAAAAAAATGAAACTAAACTTATAATACCCATTAATTTTGCAAAGAAACATAAGATGTAAATATTTACTATTATATTTTCAAATTGAAAATCTCTTATACACTCCTGTGAGATTTATTTGGTATCTATTTTTAATTTTTATTATATTAGTTTGGTAAAACATCATTCAATTTTTTCATGATATGTAATGAAATTTCAAATATTATAGATGCTGGAGCGTGTTAGAGTGTTGGGGAGTGTCAGATATGACACTTCATGTTTATTTAAGTGTCGGTGCTACATAGGTTATATATGAATTTTATTGGGTATAATCCTAATTCCTTAATGATAGTAAGTTGAGGTGTTACTTGATTATTTGTGAAAAGGATATTACCTTTGATAGATGCTGGATAATTGATTATGTGTGATGTAAATCTTACCTTTCATAGATGCTTAATAATTGGTTATATTATATATGAATCTTACCTTTGATGGATGCTTGATAATTGGTTATATGTGATATGAATCTTACCTCTGATGGATGCTGGATAATAGATTATGTGTGATATGAATCTTACCCTTGATAAATGTTGGATAAGCTATATGGAAATTATGATACTCTTTGAGAAAATTTTCAAATATGTGATTTGTGACAAGATTAGATTTCTCTAATTTGTGTGATAAGATAATAGTGGGAAGATAGCTTTTGGTATGATACCTCCTGAAAGTGATGAACACAATTTTTGGGCTTTATGCCTTTGATGTTAATGATGTGAAAGTGATGTTATCCATTCTTCCCAATAGTACCTGGCAACAGGGTTTCCCGGGGTACTAGTAGCAACTTTGGTGGAGAGGTGTGCACACTATTATTTGTTGTTTTGATGATGGCCAAATTTGATTATTCGTGACTGGCAACCTGGTTTTTCGGGTCACGTGAGTAAGCTGACAATAGGGTGTCTTTGGTCCGCCTTGGTTCTCTTTCCACTAAATGAACTAAATGAAACTAAATAGGATTAATAATGGTAATGAAATATCGTGATTGTTGCTAAAGTTGATTATGATGATTGAGTTATGATTATCCTTAATGAAATATCTTAATTGATGCTGGAGTTGATTATGATGATTGATTGAGTTATGACTATCATTACTGTGTTTTGGATTAGGATTACCAACTTTTTGCTGACTGTTTGCATTTGCTTTTGTATTTGTGTTTGTTTTCTACGATGATCCTTCTGGGGAGCAGAGACCTTAGTAAAACAGGTTTCAAAGGTTAGAGCTAGCAGTGGGCAATAAGAATAACGTCTTGAAAATTTTAGGCTAGGCTTAAAAGATTTAATAACCATATAAGACATATTTAAGTTAAACCTTAGACTTTGGTTTTACTTTCTGAAGTTTTAAGTATTTACATTGTATATATTCTTGGTATGAGAGTATGACAAAGTTAGCCTTAGACTTGTCCTTGTTATAGGTGCGACGGTAACATTTTTTCAAATTGGCTTTAGTTTAGCTTCCACAATATTTATGTGATCATAATAAATAATTAAATGTGATTTTTGATAATTCCACTATTATAGAAATAATTTTTTTTTAAATACTTTGTAACACCCCCAAATTTCCAACAAATTAAAAAATATTATTATAATAGCAGAATTGCCAAAAAATCACGTTTCATTATTTATAGGATTACATAAATATCGTGTAAGGTAAACTAGAGGCAGTTTGGGGAAATATTACCGCCACACCTGTAATAGGGACAAGTGTAAGGTTCAAGTTACCATAATCTCATACCGATAATACATTCAATGTAAATATTAAAAATTCAAAGTGTAAAACTAGAGTCTAAGGTTTAACTTAAAATATGTCTTGTTCAATTATTAAATCTTTTAGCATAGCTTGAAATGTCCGAGACGTCATCCTCACTGCCCACTGCTAACCCCAACCTTCGAAACCTGCTTCATTGGGGGTATCTGCTCTCCCAGAGGATCATCACAACATACGAACGCAAACACAAACAATAAGCAAAAAGTTGATAATCTCAATCCAAAACACAATAAGGATAGTCATAACTCAATCATCATAATCAACTCAAGCATCAATTAAGATATTTCATTAAGGATAATCATAACTCAAGCATCAATCACGATATTTTAATTACCATTGTTAATCTTATTTAGTTTCATTTAGTGGGAAGAATACCCACGTGACTCAGGAAACCCTGTTGCCAGCCACGTATAATCAAATTTGGCCATTATCAAAACATCAAATCCTAGTGTGTACATCTCTCCACTCGGGAAACCCTGTTGCTAGGTATCACTTTGGGAAGAACGGATAACATCACTTTCACATCATATAACATCAAAGGCATAAAGTCCAAAAGTTGTGTTCATCACTTTTAGGAGGTACCATACTAAAAGCTATCTTCCCATTTTATCTCCTCACATACAAATTAGGGAAATCCAATCTTGTCACAAATCACATACTTGAAAATTTTCTCAAAAGAGTATCATAATTTCCATATCAATTTCCAGTATTTATATGGGTAAGATTCGTATCACATATAACCAATTATCAAGCATCTATTAGAGGTAAGATTTACATCACACATGATCAATTATCCAGCATCTATCAGAGGTAAGATCCTTATCACACATAATCAATTAACATCTCAACTTATTATCATTAAGGAATCATGATTGTAAAAAACCAATTAAACCCAAAAGTTTAAGCTGTTGGGTGAGACTACATTAATGACTTTATATTTCTTTAATGCGTCCCCTTACACAAGAGCCTATTGGGCTTGAAGGGTGGATGATGCATCAGGCCCATTCGACCTATGCTAAGAAATTTCACAATAGATAATTATTCATTAACTGAATGGGGCGGTGAGGATCGAACTCGTGACCACTTAGTCACTGAGGCTTTGATGTCATGTAAAGAACCAATTTAACCCAAAAGCTTAAGTTGTTGAGTGAGTCTACATTAATGGCTTTATATTTCTCTAACAAGGATTATACCCAATAAAATTCATATATAACTACCCTATGATTTTCTAGTGATTAAGATTAAACCAGTAAAATTCCCAACACAATTTATATATATACCCAACCTACAATTCTCAAAGGTTTAATATTACCCTATCTAGATCCAAATAAAACTAGCCTACGAATTAGAATTATACTATCAAGATTCATTCAAATTTAACTTACAGATTAGGATTCATATATAAAGAATTAGAATTACCTAAAGGTTAACATTACATATAACAAATTCCATATAAAACTAATCTATAATACCCAAAGGATCAAGATTACATATAACAAATTTCATATAAAACTACCTTATGATACCTTAAGGATTATGATTACATATAACAAATTTCAAATAAAACTAACCTATGACACCCTAAGGATTAGGATTACACTATCAAAATTCATAAAAAATTAACCTATGACTCTCTAGGGACTATGATTACATATAACAAATTTCAAATAAAGCTAACTACAGATTGAGATTACCTGAACTCTGTGTTTGAAGGCTTTCTCAGGAGAAGAGTGTTTCACAAGGGAAAGCATAGTTGACAGCTAAGGGGAATAATGTTGCAACAGAATTTGAAAGGTTTGGGAGAAGGAAAGAAAAAGGAGAAGGGAAATAGAGAGATGTAGGGAATTGGAGAAAACATAGAAATGGTTTGAGTGTTAGGTTAAGCTCCTATTTATAGCTAAGGTTTTGTAACGGAAAAATGGCATTTATTGTAGGCAATATTAATGGTAATCATAATTACTTCAATTATCATTATTCCAAATATCTTAACGGTTACAAAATTAACTAATAAAAAAAAAAATGCTAAACATTACAAATTAAATGATAACCCAAAAATAAATGTTGAACAATACAAACTAAAATGACTACCAATTAATGTTACAATTTTATAATTAAATAATGACATACTGATAACAATTAATAACAACCAATCTCAACGTATAAAATGTCAATGCCTATTCCTATTTTTATTATTATTTTTATTACTTTTATTACTATTATTTTTCTTGGGTTATTACAGATTCATTCACAATGAACTTCATGAATATCCTTTATGATTAACGTTTCCCTTCAATATAAAACATTTATTGGCTATATCATGTGACAATAAATTTTCACGTGGATTATCTTATCTGCAGTTTCCTTTTTGTTGTCCATGAGACGAGTAAGTGTCCCCTGATACAGAGGATGGCACTGCTGTAATACTCATGTACCTGTTTCTCCGTGTGTGTTTTGAACTATCGTGTCATGGCAAATGCAGGATTTACATTGACTATTGAGTTCCTATGATCAAGTGTTGGCCTTTGGCCTTTTCAAATTAGAGATATTGTGGCCAAATATATATATATATATATATATGTATATATATATATATATATATATTGTATCTTTAGAGCAAATAACGAATCATAGTCGATCTCCTTGGAGTGGTTTCTAGTTTCATTATATTTCATGATTTGTTCCCCTTTGCGTTACGATTGGGAGACTAGTTAATATAAATATGGGTTACTGCTTTGTATTTAATATCATCATTGCACACCATATTAACATATTATAATATTCAAAGTCTTTATTATCTTTAGGATACCCAAAAAAAAAAAAAAGTCTTTATTATCTTTTCCTCCTATTCCCTATCTAAACCCTATAATTTCAACATGATATTAGAGCAGTGCAATCCTCTGTATTAGATATATTGTTTTGAGATATTATCTGCTACATGCCATCCTTTATATGTTATACTTATAGCTTGTTGCAGGTCTGTTATATTAGCTGTAGCGCTGTTGTATTAGTTTACTGTACATCTGGTTGTACAGAATCATCTCACTGGTTCTGTTGGAATAGTTAGTTAGGCAAGTTAACTTTCTGTTATGGTTAGAATCCTTATGATAATAGAGCACTCTGTAACTGATCCTAATCTAATGAATCACAAATATGAAGTTCTCACACAGTTTCTCTCTCTAACTTTCTTTCACTTTCTTCTACTTTCTCGTCACTTTCTCTTAATCTGCAACGGTGCAACCTGGCAACCTGACCCGTTACTATTTCACTGCCAATTTTCCTAAAATTTGGCATATTGTGTTTCACTTTATCTGTTTTCAGTGACTGTTTTTGCCTTCCTGTTGGCTGTGACAAATTCCAGCAACATTTTCATCTTTGTTATTGGGCTTTTCTGCCCACCACTACCACGATCTTCTCCAGCCATCTCTAGCCCTTATCCACCCATTCTGCGCTCCAGTAGTGTGTTCATCTACTGTATGTGCATCATCTCTGTCATCAATGTGTCTTTCACCTCCCCACCGTTGCCGTCAACTTTGGCATGTCCAAATTCTTCGGTGCTTGAAATCGCACAATCATCAAAGCTACCATACACAAATCCTTCCTTACTCTCTAATGTTTTTTTCCTTCTCTTCTGCAACTATAGGTGTTAGATATACCTTTGTCTACGTATGATTTTGACCAACCGACCATACCATAGTCAACACTGTACCACCCTCACTCTTTTGAGTGCGTGAGAGCTTGTCAACGATTTTTTTGGCCGGCATCTCCTCAGCCCACCTTTCTGCACCATCTCTGCCTCTGGTTAGGCCCATACCCCATCGCCTATATTCAACTCCTCCCTGTGGTTGTTTGGCTCCCTTGGACTATGTTTTTCCATGTTTAATGCTCAGATCTGGTGTGTTATTTTCTTCCGATCTCCATCGGGTTTAAATTGTTTTCTCTTAGCATTCTTCGTTGTAAATATCTCTAGTTTTTCATTGTTTTGGCTATTGTTTGACTCTTTTCCAATGCTATGAGGGGGAGAAAGTTAGAAGGTGTTTTTCATGTTGTCCTTTTGCACTAACGAATCATACTAGTGGTTACTTCTCCCACCACCGATTATTCTGGTGGTGATTATTTTCCATGAATCAATTATACTTTTGGGGACTTATGTTGGTTGTGACACACACCAGCCCTGTTTTTGTCTCAGAGCTCTAAATACATTCTTGCCCCACCTCTAGTTTAGATGTTGTTGCCAGCCACTACTTTATATTTTGAGTGTATTTTCTTTTAATATGCTTAACTATAACAAGCTTAAAGCTTAGTAAACCTTTACTTGAAGGGAAGTGTTATGAATATTTAGAAAATATCTCATAATAGCATTTTAGAATAAATAGAGTTATAAATAAGATTAGAGTCTAGTGTTGTAAATAAGCCTTTTAGTATGTTAGATGATCTCTTTATAGTGATTTTCAAGTTGTGTTATATTTCATGATTTTTTTCCTTATTAATTAAGATTAGGAGTCTAGTGTTAATATAAATAAGGTTGGTGCTTTTTTATATCACGCCATCTATTACGATCCAATTGCAAGGTATGAGACTTGGCGTCCCTGTTGGAAACATAAGGTTTTGGTGTGGGGTTTATATGGACTTTGGGCTCTCCTACCTTACAAGCTAGTTTTTGGGGTGAGGCTAAGGTTCGTATCAATTGGTATCAGAGGATCCACTATGTCTCTTAGTTGCAATCGAACGGTGCAATTGGTGACGCTGACAGTGTAGTGTTCGCCCAAGGCTAGCAAAAATCTAGCGCCAAACTACGCCGCGTGGGAGTTGAGGCTGTGGAGCATGGTGGGATGTTACGATCCAGTTGCAAGGTATGAGGCTTGGAGTCCCACATCGGATACATAAGGTTCTAGTGTGCAGTTTATACGGATTTTGGGCTCTCCTACCTTACAAGCTAGCTTTTAGGATGAGGCTCTCCCAAGGTTCATATCATCAACATAACATATTTGCTTATTATTTTATTCAGGTCTTTATTATCTTTCCTTCCTCTTCCCTATTTAAATCCTTTAATTTCAACATGCATATACGTATAATATATGACCACAATGATAGTGTCTCACATATACATAATTTATCTTGAAAATATATATAAAAAAATCACTCCCCATGAAACTCTTGGGTGAGAATATCCTTATATATAGCCTTATCCTTGGATTTTTGTAAAGAGAACGTTTTCCGGATTTGAATCCGTGACCTTTCGATCACAAAGGAGTAGCTTTATTTTAGATTCGCTTGAGGAACCCTTCTCTGCTACTTTGTTAGGATAGGGGTAGGGGTTGATTGTACACAGTCTTGCCATTACATTTTTGCAAAGAAGTTGCTTCCCGAACTCAAATCCCTAACATTCCGGCTACAATTGCTTCAAGGCTTGCCCTCTATTTTGAAAATAGATAATTAAACGAATTATAAGATTTCTATTTGCACTATTTTTAGTGAGATATAGACGGGTTGTAGAGGTACAAATATTTTTTAACGTTAACGTGAATGAGAAAAAAACTATTTTAAGTAGATATGAAAATCTTTTTGCACCAGATGAAAGGCTAGTTTATGATCAATTGAAGCATTATACCTTTCTCCTCATTATTGTGAGTCTGTTGTTAGTTTTCTCGTACCGTTTATATTCAACCATTGATAGAATTTCACATTAGCCTTGAGCCCATGATTAGTTCAAGATGTCTGATATATTTTGGGTTCATGGTCATGCAATTTAAGATTTTGTGGTTGTTTTGCATGTTGTTAACATTAAACAAGCAGGAGGCATATTTCAACGGTTATAACATAAAATCAACTTTTGCTCCTGACAATTTGCAGATTGAAACAATCTTTAAAGGCAAACCATGCACCGAAATAAGAGAAGCTGCAACGGGTTTGACAAAACGGCTTGCACAAACAGCCCAGGAGACCTTTGGAGATTTTGAAGAAGCAGTTGAGAAAGATGCTACAAAGACTGCAGTAACAGATGGAACTGTCCACCCTTTGACAAGCTATGTGATTAACTATGTGAAGTTTTTGTTTGAGTAAGTTCTTCTGTGTTGCTTTCTGCTTCAAGTTCTCAAGCCAAATCGTCAAATTATTTCTATCATTCTATATTGTTTTCACTGATGACAGAGCTGTGCCATTATTTATTTAGCATGTGACCTGTAGTGTAGAAAATTTTCTTAAGTTTATTAAACTTTCTTTTTATGGTTCCAACTTCTTTCTTACATTTCTGTTAGAGATATAATATAAACAAATTATTCATGCCTTCACTTAATAACTTAAGCTTTTATGCTAAATTGATTCTCGACATAGTATTAGAGCCTCCATGACCAATTAATCTAGAGTTCGATCCTTGTCGTCCCCATTCTTCTAATAAATATTATAGAATTTCTTAGCAGCCGTAGTTGGATCGTGCATTGTCCACCCTTCAAGCCCAATGGGTTCTTTTGTAAGGAGGCATGTTAAAGATATAATATAAAAAAATAATTCATGCCTTCATCTAATAGGTTAAACTTTTGGTTTAAATTGTTTTAATATATTTAATTAGGCAGGGACACTAAAATTAGTTATTGACTTATTCTACTTCTTCCCTACCCGAACTTGTTAAGTAAGTGTTTGATGGAACCCAAAAAAATTATAACTATGTATTTATTAAGTCAAGAGATTGCAAACACTAATTCAAGATAAAACGCAGAAAATAAACACCAAAAGACCTCACTCACTCTCAAGCCAATATACCTAGGACAAAGATCCCAAGAGATCCTTTCCCAAAACCCCACTCCAAATATTCTGAATACATGCATACCTCACACTTTCACACTCCCCTCCTTATATCCTATTATTTAGGAATATTCTAGAATAGTTTCCATAACAAACTAACTAACTCAGGCCCATTCTAATTAACTCAGGTCCATCAATACTCCCCCTCCAAAATTCACCTTGTCCTCAAGGTGAAGAGAAAATGAAGCTAATATGAGAGGATTTTCCACCTGGATCCCATTGCTTAAAAGCATATGACTGATTTTGGCCCATGTGACTTGTTTTCCTCTGGGCCCATTACTATTTGAAGCACTAACTCAGATTTAACCACTTCAATTTTTGGGCCTTGTTCCAACCAAATTGCTAAAGTTATCTTGATGGGTTGGATATAACCCATCTTTTTTTTTTCTTACACAAAATTCTGCTGGGATGGGCCCATTAGGTCAACAAATTTATCCAAAGCCAATTCTGCCCCTCTTGTCTCTCTCGTCCTCTGTAGCTTCAGCGCCGTTTCTTCCTCTCTGTCTTCCTCGTTTGATGGTTTCAATAGCGTCGTGACTCCAGCTTCCACCATGAACGAATCTGGTTGGGTCTTCGTTATGCCCTCCTTAGCCGCTAGCAACTCTCCTTTTTGCACATGCTTTTGTTTTGTCTTTATGCAGATTTCTTCTTCACCTTTTTCATTTTCTTCTTTCGCTTTTGCTGCCTCTTCTTCCACTTCTTTTTTTTCTTCAATCGCTACTGCCTCTGCCTTGTCTGCGCCTTCTTCTGCTTCAGCTTCTTTGGCGCCTTCTTCTGCTTCAACGTTTGCGACTTCTTCTTCGACAACTTCAACTTCTTCCTCTTCGTTTTTTTCTGGTTCTTCTTCACCTTTTTTTTCTTCTTTATCTTCAGCCCCAGTTTTATATTCTTTTTCTGCAACCAATGCAACTTCTTCATTGCTGATTTTTTCTTCTTTGTTGATTCCGATTTGTTTTCCTCCTTCTTCTTCTGTTCTAATTTCTTCTTCGATTTGTGTTTCTGTCCGAACATCTTCTCCTTCCTCATCTTCTGTTTTTTCTTCTTCTTTTTCTTTTTTCTTTTTTTCTTTTTCTTTTTCCTCCATTTTTTCTGAGTTGTTTGATACTCCATCCTCCTCTACCACACAAATCTCAGGTATATATCTCCTAATAAATGCTGTCAAAGATCTGCCAGCTTACATAGAGACTGAACCCATTCCAAAGTTTGTACCAGTTGAGTGCACGACCTCCCAACCCCTTCACCACTTCATTCAGCTTATCAGCTTCTTGAATTTGATTTGCTTGAAAATGTTGTTCAAGCCCCATCAACCATCCCCAAGCTTTAATTCCATCTTCTCGATAAAATTCTGGAATCATTTTTTTTTTTTCCAGATCTGGAACAGAAACACCCCTAGATCGGAAGTGCTTTGATACCAAATTGATGGAACCCAAAAAAATTATAACTATGTATTTATTAAGTCAAGAGATTGCAAACACTAATTCAAGATAAAATGCAGAAAATAAACACCAAAAGACCTCACTCACTCTCAAGCCAATATACCTAGGCCAAAGAGATCCAAGAGATTCTTTCCCAAAACCCCACTCCAAATATTCTGAATACATGCATACCTCACACTCCCACACTCTCCTCCTTATATCCTATTATTTAGGAATATTCTAGAATAGTTTCCATAACAAACTAATTAACTCAGGCCCATTCTAATTAACTCAGGTCCATTAGTGTTGAATATGGTCGACAATAGATGACCAAAGACAAACACCATTGTCAACACTATAGGGCATTTCCCATTCCTTTATATGTTTGGAGCATGAAGTGCTAGTGTGGGAGAGAAAAAATAGTTGTCCTTTTTATGTATATAACCATTTTTGTGCTTGCACCAAAAAGTTCAAGCTTTCGGGAGAGTTGGTTTATGATATGATATTAGAGCCTCTATGACCATGTAATCTAGAGTTTGATCTTTGTTATCTACATTCTTCTAAATAAATTTTTTTTTTATTACAATGCTAAGACTCATTATCCATGCTTCAATCCCAACGGGATTTTACCTGAGGTGGCATGTTAGATAATCAGTCCTCTTGATAATGGGCTGCCATAATAAGAACATCAATTGATGATCAGTCCTCTTCCATTCCTCCCTCTCAGCAGCAACGCTCAGTGGGACAGCCAATTGGTGACTACTGAGACAGGACATACCCTCACCTTGATGGTTGAGGGTGTCGAGACCAATTATCCAACCTTGACAATGGTGGCTGGACTGACAAGACTAGGGTTTTCAATAAAGAATAAGGAGGAAGCTGATGGACTTTGCATCAGATTTCCCATAAGATTAATTGTGACTGTAAAGGGTATTGTGCTGCAGCATGCCTGGAGTTTTGCAAATTTGCTATCTTCAACCTTGTCAGGTCTTTACTGAACCATCCTGGTCGATGATTCTCTTGAACTAATTTAAAAATTCTAACTATTTTGAACTGAGTTTTATTTTAAAATACTAACATTTCAAATGAAAAAATTGTGCTATTCCATGCCTTCATTCAAAATTAAGTGGAATTACTTATTAAACATTCAGTTTCTCTCCTCTGTCCAAAGATAATGCTCAAGCTTGGGTACTTTCTCCGTGGTTGGCGTGTGTGTACATTTTGCCTTGCCTTGATATACATCAGTGATCTTGACATATTTGACCTTACCTGAATTTACTACGCATTTGCAGCTACCGTTCTACCTTGGACAAACTTTTCCAAGAATTTGAAGGTGAAGGTGATTCTTTGCAGCTAGCATCTGTAACAATGCGAATAATGCAAGCTCTTCAAACCAATTTAGACGGGAAAGCAAAGCAGTATAGAGACCCTGCACTGATGCACCTATTTCTCATGAATAATATTCATTATATTGTCAGATCAGTTCGGAGGTATGTCATCCACATATCTTGGTTTTGATTTCATTGAATCCTGTGAATTTTATTGAATCCTCTGCAAGTTCCAAGTTATTATTCTGCAATCTTCTTTTATTCTAGGTCTGAAGCGAAGGATTTGTTGGGGGATGATTGGGTACAACGACATAGGAAGATTGTACAGCAGCATGCAAATCAATACAAAAGAAATGCCTGGGCAAAGGTGTTGTTCTATTGATTTAAATGATCGCTATATGTCTTGCAGCTTTCTTGGGTGATACTTCAATTTTTTGTTAGATCTTAGTTTTATTAATAAAGTTAGATGGTTATGGTTCTTTTTGAGTAGATTAAGTCAACATTGCCTGATATTTGGTTTCATGTAAGTGGATCTTTGTGAATTTCGTTGCATAATTTATTTTAGTTCATTTTAGGAAATCTGATGCTATCCTTTGACTTATGTCTCTAAGAAGGAAATCAAATAAGTTTCTGATACGGTGGGAATTCAATGTGGTGGAAACCCAAGTACTTGGAAAGTATATTCTAGGAGAAACATACCCAAGTCACGTGAAATGTTATAACCTTAGTGTATCTAAGTGGGTTAGGGGGGTTGGGGTTTAGTGGTTAGATTGCTGTGTAAAATCTTAACCTGTTGTATAAAAGAGGTATCTTTCGAAATTGCACTTTCTAAGACTGGCAAAGAATTGATGCTGTGATAGAGTAGATAATACCACGGTTAAATGCTGCACATGTTCCTCTTAGTTCTTGCTAAAATTCAAAATATCATCGAAAGAATACAAGAAGAAATTTTTGTAGGAAAGGCTTGAGGGTGGAATTCATGGTCCATTATAATGTGGCAGGGGCATTTGTGAGGCCAAAAGGCATGACAAGAAACTCAAAATGCCCTTGGTGTGTCCTAAAAGCCGTCTTAGGAATGTCTTTTTCACGCATCCTAATTTAAAATCCACCTTAACAGAGGTAAGCTGCCCCATGCAATTCATCAATTACTGGAATAGGGAATTTTTCTGGTATGGTGACCTTGATAAGAGCCCTACAGTCTACATAAAATCGCAAGCTACCATCCTTCTTTTTCACTAAAATCACTGAACTAGATAAAGGACTATTGCTAGGGTGTACGGTACCTGACTCCAGCATTTCTGCTACCATTTTCTCTATCTTATTCTTTTGTATACGGGGATACTTGTAAGGTTTCACATTAATAGGGTTCATTCTTTCCTTCAAAATAATCTTATGATTCACCTCACAGAAGGGAGGCAGCCCCTCTGACACTGAAAAAACTAATTCAAAATGCTGCAGCAATGGCTATGATTGAGCTTTCGGACATGGGGTAATTTCTTCTATAACACCTTGCTCATTCAACTCCTCTGCAGACTTGATAGTAGAAAAAATGAAAACCATAGCTGAAGCATCCACCTTTGCGGTTTTTAAAATTTCCTTTGAAGAAACAACTGATCGTGACAAGCCGGGATCCCCTTTAATCTTCACCTATTGACCTTGGTGTGAAAATGACATGCTCAAAGCCTCAAAGTCCTCCATTTCACCTTAACATCTCCTAAGGTTTCAAGCCAAGGCCACCCCTAGGATGACATCTACACCCCCTAATTCGAAGAGGAAGAAATAACTATCCATTGTGTAATTCTCCAAATGGACCTTCAATTGTTCACAACAACAGCCTTGTGATTTGACTCACTGTCCATCCCCCAAATGTACGCCAAAGGGAGAAGTATGGGAAATAGGAAGACCAAGTCTTCTCATCAACCCCTATCTTATGAAATTATGACTGGCTCCACTGTCTGCGTACCAAGATAGGGAACCCTGCACTGTGGCTGTTAATTTCATAGTCTTGGGCTGTGTCAAACCAATGAGAGGTCAAGCCATTTAATTCAGCTTCTTGCAACAAACCCCAGTGCTTTGCTTCTGGAGTGCACATTTCTGGAGACGACTCCTCACCATCCTCTTCATAGTATTCATCCTCACCTAAGATAGTAATCTTAATACTCTTCTCAAGACATTTATGCATAGGTCCAAAAGGCAATCCGCAGTGGAAGCAGCGACCCTCTTCCCTGCGCTTTGAGGTATTCTTGGTAGGGGAGGTGTAGTCATCCTTTGTTTTGGCCACTTATAGAAAAGCCTTGTGTGGTGTGTTTATATAACCCATGGAGGATGCTCTGTTACCAATTGATACCCCCTTATCCACCCTTGAATTGAACTTTGAGCTTTCCCTTCTGTTGGCAGTCTGATTTGTGGAGCCAATAGACCCGCATCAGTTTACATCTAAAATCATGCAAGCTTAATCTTTCTTTATTTATCCATTATATTATTTGGAATGGAGTAAATCTCCTAAAATATCCTCCAAATATTAGCATGTCACAATGTTAGGCCTCCAAATATTTTTTGTTACTGAATTTGTACCTCACATTTACCAAATTTGTCCTTTTGTGTCGCCACTTTTGTCTTACATAAGAATGAATCTGGTTATGTTTTAGATCTTCAAGGGACCAATTTGGTAACAAAAATCTTTCGACTACTAATGTAGTGTGACCATAATCTTTGAAGGTCCAATTTAGGGTTTTACTCTTTTGAAATTGGCTTCAACACCCTAGAAGGAGGTGAATTTTATGTTTCTAAAACTACTATAACTTTTATTTTGACTTGGAAATTATTGAGATATATAAAACCATTAATGTAGCCTCATCCGATAGCTTAAGCTTTTGGGTTGAATTGGTTCTTTACATGGTATCAAAGCCTCGTGTCTCGGGTTCGATCCTCGCCACCCTCCACTTTCTTTCCAGTGGAATTTCTTTGTTCGCACAGGTAGGTGGGCCTGTGCATTGTCCACCCTTCAAGCCCAGTGGGCTCTCGTGTGAGGGGGCGTGTTGAGATATATAAAACCATTAATGTAGCCTCATCCAATAGCTTAAGCTTTTGGGTTGAATTGGTTCTTTACAGAAATTAAGACTAACGAGCTACTCTGAATGATTTAGGAAAGAAAAAAGTAAACCATACTGTTGAGATATATAGTCCCACATTGATTGTATGTGCAACTAATGTGGAGTTTATAAGGCCTTGGGCACTCCCACCCTTTGAGCTAGCTTTTGGGGTGGTGTATCCCAAGATTCAACCTGTTGTAAATATTAGGTCTTTTATTATTATTAGTATTTGTTGTATTGGGCCAAGCCCATTAGGTCAAGAATTAGGTTTTTTAGTCTCTATAAATAGAGACCTCTTTGTATCAGATTAATACACAATTCAATAATATTTCAAATACCCTTTTCTTTCAAGTTGGTATCAAAGCTCTCGATCCTGAGGGCTCTGCTTCCGCGCCTATTGTCTTTAGAACAAGAACCTTTTATTCTTTTTGTCTCTCGCTGCCATCAGCCGCCACCGGATTTTTTCCGGGGACCTCTTGGACCGAGAAGATCTCTGTTACTGTTCATCGTCTCTGTTACTGTTCATCGTCTCCATTATTCTTCATCACAAGACAACATCTGTTCATCACGATTGGTCCCTTTCCCGGTGGTTTTTCAACTCCGAATAGACCCAGAAAGAACCGCGCTCAGCGGACGACGTTGCTCCAGAATTTCAGACCGGACGGCCACCGCACGCGCCCACACGCGCCTCCCCTTCAACCGCGAGTGAAGCCCACGCGCAGCCAATCTCACCGGCGCGTGAGACCATTTTTCCGGATCGGACTACCGCGATCTTGATCGTCCCTTCATCCTCTTTCTGGATCTGTGCTCCTCTCTTTGATCGGACATCGTTTGGTATTTATTTGTGATTTTTTGGCTTCTTGGAGCTTTTCTTTGACCATTTTCTGTGCAGTATGGCCTCTTCTCAAAGGAGTTCTTTTTCAAAATTTTATGATGGTACCTCTTCTAGACCTAAGAGAGATGATCGATGGTGTTCTTATTGTAAAAGAACAGGTCATATCAAGGATTTATGCTTTCGCCTTTATGGAAAGCAAACTGTCTTAGAAAAGATGGCAAGGATGCGTGGTCAAGCGCATTTTACTTCTTCTGAAATAACCCCTGCACCTAATGAGACCCAATCTGCATTTCGTCCAGATGAGTTGGAACGACTCCGAACCATTCTTGATTATCTGAGTAAGCCATCTGATACTAGTGCTTTGGCTATGACTGGTATGAGCTCCAAAACTCATTCTTTCATTTCTTCATGTAATGATTTTAAACATTCTTGGGTTGTTGATTCTGGTGCTACTGATCATATGGCTTGTTGTGCTGACTCCTTTATTTCTTATCATCCTACCATTGGAACTCATACAATATCCATAGCTGATGGCTCACATACATCAGTTGCGGGTTCTGGTGACATAAACTTACAGCAGTCCTTACATCTTAAGGATGTTCTTCATGTTCCTAAACTCTCCACGAATCTTCTTTCTATTCACAAAATTACAAAAGATTTGAATTGTACTGTAACCTTCTTCCCTACCCATTGTGTTTTTCAGGATCTCGCCACGGGGAAGACGATTGGTAGTGCTAAAGAGCAAGGTGGGCTGTACTATCTGGTGTCACAATCTCCCGCAAATAAAGTAACAGATCACACCTTCATGTCTCATGGTCAATCAACTGCTGATTCTTTAATTTGGCTGCATCATAAGCGTTTGGGTCATCCTCCATTTAGTTTACTCAAATCTTTATTTCCGTCATTGTTTTTGTCTAAGTCTGTTGAGTCTTTTCATTGTGATGTTTGTGAATTTGCTAAGCATCATCGTGTGTCTTTTCCTTCTAGTATTACTAAGAGTGTTGAACCTTTTGATCTTATTCATTCTGATGTTTGGGGTCCTTCTAAGGTCCCTTATTCTTCTGGAATTAAATGGTTTGTTTCTTTTATTGATGATTGCACTCGTGTAACTTGGGTTTACTTAATGCGTGAAAAGTCTGAGGTACCACAACTGTTCTTTCAATTTTATAAAATGATTGAGACTCAATTTTGTAAAAAAATCAAAAGACTAAGGACAGATAATGGTACTGAATATGTCAATCACTCTTTTTCCCAATTTATACAAAATCAAGGTATGATTCATGAACTTACTTGTGTAGACACCCCTCAACAAAATGGGGTTGCTGAAAGGAAAAATCGTCACCTTCTTGAAGTTGCTCGTGCCTTACTGTTTCAAACACATGTACCCAAATGCTATTGGGGAGATGCCATTCTTACTGCAGCGTTCTTGATCAATCGTCTACCCACTCGGGTTCTCGATCATGTAAGTCCTATTCACTCCATGACTTCTTTTTTTCCTTCTGTTCCAACTTTGCAAAGTCTTCCTCCTCGAGTGTTTGGGTGTGTTGTCTTTGTTCATATTCATAAACAGCATCGCAGTAAGTTGGATCCTAGGGCTCTTAAATGTGTCTTCCTTGGATATGCTCCTGATAAGAAGGGCTACAAGTGCTATCACCCTGGAAGTCGGAAATTTTTTGTTTCTATGGATGTTACATTTCAGGAATCTGAGTCCTTTTTCCAAGGTCCTCATCTTCAGGGGGAGAATAATTCACCAGAAGACTCATCACCTTCCTTCTTTGAATCTTCAGTGTCTACTCCTTCACCTGTGTCAGTGTCTCTTCCTCTTGTTCCTGTTCCTAATGTGTCTATGTCTGATCCTCCTGTGACTGATCCTCCTATGACTGATACATCAAGTACACCAGAGATACGGAAGATTGTAACACCTGAATTGGTATATCAAAGAAGGAAACAACCCACATTGCCTCAACAGCAACCTCAATCGTCTGAACCACTGGTAAGTCCTGAATCTCATATTTCTGATCATGATGTTAATACTTCTGATGACTTACCCATTACTACTGCTTCTGATGATTTACCCATTGCTTTAAGAAAAGGAAAAAGATCTTGTTCCAAGAAAACTTGTTCTTCCTGTCCCTCTTGTACTCAATACCCTATCTCCCATTTTGTTTCCTCTGCTAATCTTTCTGTGCAGCACAAAAGCTTTGTTTCAGCACTAGATTCTACTTCAATCCCAAAATCAGTACATGAAGCTTTGAAAGATGGGAATTGGGCTCAAGCCATGCAAGAGGAGATGAATGCGTTGGAGAAAAATAAAACATGGGAGGTTATTGATAGACCCAACGGAAAGAAAGCAGTAGGGTGCAGATGAGTTTATGCCCTGAAATATAATTCTGATGGCACTCTTGAGAGATACAAGGCTCGATTAGTCGCCAAAGGTTACACTCAAACCTATGGCATTGATTATGAAGAAACCTTTGCTCCAGTTGCAAAGATGAATACAGTGAGAATCTTGTTGTCCCTTGCTGCCCATTACAATTGGGATATAAATCAATTTGATGTGAAAAATGCTTTCCTCAATGGTGAGTTAGAAGAAGAAGTCTACATGGAAATCCCGCCTGGTTTTGTCTGTGAAGGGGGAAAATAAAGTTTGTCGATTAAAAAAGGCCTTGTATGGATTGAAATAGTCACCTCGTGCTTGGTTTGGAAGGTTTACTAAGGTTATGATGACCTTAGGATATAGACAGAGTCAAGGAGATCACACTCTTTTCTTCAAGCACTCCCAAAATGGGAAGCTTACTGTGCTCCTTGTATATGTTGATGATATTATTATCACAGGTGATGATTTTGTGGAGAGACAGATTCTGTAGACACGACTTGCCTCTGAGTTCGAAGTCAAAGACCTTGGGAAACTGAGATATTTCCTAGGGATAGAAGTAGCTCATTCAAGCAAAGGAATTTTTATCAGTCAGAGGAAATATGTTTTGGATCTTCTCAAAGAAGCAGGGAAGCTCGGGTGTAAACCCTCTAATACTCCTATTGAGCAGAATCACAAGATAGGCTTTGAAGAGGAGAGTCCTCCAGTTGATAAAGGACAATATCAACGGCTAGTTGGAAAATTGATATATCTGGCTCATACTAGGCCAGACCTAGCTTATGCTGTTAGTGTTGTCAGTCAGTTTATGCACGATCCAAAGGAGAAACACATGCAGGCAGTAGAGAGAATTCTTCAGTATCTTAAAGCTACTCCTAGTAAAGGATTGTTATTCCGACGTGATGGTAATCTCTCTTTAGAAGTCTACACTGATGCTGATTATGCTGGATCCATGACTGACCGTCGTTCTACCACTGGTTATTGCATGTTTCTTTGCGGTAACTTGGTGACATGGAGAAGTAAGAAACAAGATGTGGTTGCCAGATCAAGTGCAGAAGCTGAATTTCGAGCTATGGCTCAAGGCATTTGTGAGTTACTGTGGCTGAAAATTGTACTTGATGATCTCAAAATAAAATGTGAGGGACCTATGAAGCTGCTATGTGATAATAAGTCCGCTATTTGTATAGCTCATAATCCAGTTCAACGTGATCGGACTAAACATATTGAGGTCGACCGCCATTTCATCAAAGAGAAACTTGATAGCGGGTTGATTACCACTCCATACATTCCCACTGGGCGTCAATTAGCTGATCTATTGACAAAGGGACTTCCTTCAGACAAATTTCAAGAACTTACTAGCAAGCTGGGAATGATAAATATCTATTCCTCAGCTTGAGGGGGAGTGTTGTAAATATTAGGTCTTTTATTATTATTAGTATTTGTTGTATTGGACCAAGCCCATTAGGTCAAGAATTAGGTTTTTTAGTCTCTATAAATAGAGACCTCTTTGTATCAGATTAATACACAATTCAATAATATTTCAAATACCCTTTTCTTTCAAGTGCTGAGTATCTTGTGAAAGTAAAGAAATTAGCAAGCACATTTAACATTATAAGCAAAAATCAAATAAATGTTTTTTGTTGAAATTTAAGATAAGAGAAGAATTAAGTTCTCGTCAAAAGGGTTGAGTGTTTTACTGTTAGTCTGTTAGAGGAAGTTGTAGTCTTCCATTTGCTATTTATGGATGATGCAAGTTTGTTTCCAGAAGAGAATAGAGAGTTCCATTGATGCTTTTTATCATTCCATTTTTCGTTGAGGCTGTGTTCTGGTTTATTTGAAAAAAAAATTGTGAAGGGTGGCTTGACCAGGTTGAGTGTTGATATTAGTGTCTTGTCTTCTGGCTTGTATATCTGGTTGTCTGACCCTTGTTTGGCTTCTTGCTTTGACGTTACATTCTGAAGTATCCTTGATCCATTTTTATTTTTTTGGGATCCTGTGATTCTGGAGATTTCAAAGTGTTTGAATAAATTGAAGGGTGCTTCCTTTTCTATAAGGGGCCAGAGCACTCTCATTCAAGTTTGATTATCTAGCATCCTACTCGTTTTTTTTTTATTGTGTGTGTGTTTGTAATGGTTGTATAGTCAGAGCCATTCTATCTTTTGTATCAGTTTTCTTTGCTGAGAAGTAATTTCTTCCTTTCTGGTAAATTTTTTGTTTTGATCGTTATGCGTGTGGCTTTAAACACAATGTCACCTGCTCCTCCATTGATTTGCAATTATCAGAGAAGGTACTGTACCACTTCTGAGTTTTTGTTTCTTTCCCTTGGCAGATTCTTCAGACCCTCTCTGTTCAGGGCCTCGGCTCATCAGGTGGTGGTGGGGGTGGAACTGCTGGTGGCGATGTTGGAAGTAGTAGCGGTGCTTCCAGAGCAATTGTTAAAGACAGGTAGCCTTTCAGTTGCTTCTTTATCCACTTTATTTCAGTTGAAGTTTTCGCCATCGTTCTTTTGACATGTGAATGTAACTGTTTTCTCAGGTTTAAGTCATTCAATACTATGTTTGAGGAACTTCATCAGAAACAATCTCAGTGGACAGTACCTGACACTGAGCTGCGAGAGTCTCTTAGACTTGCAGTTGCTGAAGTCTTGTTGCCTGCCTATAGATCATTTGTGAAACGTTTTGGGTGTGTTTCCTCATTTTAATTAACTGCATATATGATTACATCATTACTTAATTTATCTATAACATATTTTTATATGGGGACAAGTATTCATGGATGTGAAATAATGTCTTGTCCCCGCTTGAGACAAAATTACATGAATTTTCTGGCAGTTTTATCTAGTTTTTGATTCACTCCTTTGACAACTCAAGGGTTGATTTTTTGCATTCAATGCCTTGTGATTTTGGTATAAGTAACTAAGATCCTGATGCAATACAGGCCTCTAGTGGAGAATGGAAAGACTACTCAGAGGTACATCAAATACACTGCAGAAGATCTAGAACGAATCTTGGATGAATTTTTTGAAGGAAAAAACATGAATGAATCGAAGCGGTAATTGGAGTGTAGATGAAGGTAGGCCTGTTTTTACCCTGGCCCCATGGTATTCAGAGGTTAAGACATTTGATTTTGATGGTTTTGTTTCTCGCTTGTTACTTCAGTAATAGTTCACCAGGTTGTATATGATGCTAAATGTATTTCCTACCTCTATGCAGGGACTCAAGGAAATGAGAGTTACCATTTATGTCTTTGGGTGTATAGCAAGAACTTTAGTAAGAGGGTGACCATGTCTCTGCTTCCTGCAATTGCATGTATAGTTCATTCTTTCCTTGCGTAAATGATAGCCCCATCAAGATTTTACTTGAGCATTGTTGTAACTCATGATACACGAGTGATTTTCAATATATGGAATTTTAATGTTTTTCTTTTTCTTTTTCCCTTTTAACTTTTGTTTTGTTTTGAGGGAGATTAATATGTAATAAGGGATTGGTGTAGTCTCCTGTCAAATTTCAGGTTGATGTTTGTTCCATTTATTGGCGTAAATAGCACTTTTCCTTCTTTTTCTCTTTTTCCTTTTTAAAATTTTGCATATAGCAGTATGCATTAATGTAAGGAGTGATAGTTGTATAGGGTTTTTTATTTTCGGGGTACATTTCTAGGTTTAATTATGCATCTAGCAGAATGTAATATGACTTTAGATTTTTGAGTATTCTTGTATTTTTAATATACTTCTAGGTCTGATTGAATATTGTGCCCTTATATTTAATTTTTTTTACTATTTTCCCCTCTTTTTAAAACTATTTATTAACTTTTAACTCTCTTTTTTTTATCAAAACTATGTTCCAATCTATCTTTGTTTGTCCACGTTGACCGCCAGTTACAAGAGTAATTTAGGCAAGTGGACAACTCAAATTTGGATTCACAAATTTTGTATTCAAACAAATTTCTAATGTTTTATAGATGTATAAATGGAATTGAGATGAGTGTTTTTGTGTCCTTTACAATTGAGGGCTATTATTCTCATTCAATTCAATGTGTCAAAACATGATTTTTTGTGTGTTGATTTTCAATGTAACTTCTAAAATTGGGTTCTTTTTTTTATTAATCCATGTTTATTGTATCATGCACACATATTTTGACTTCATATATGGGATTCAAGGATCCAAAATAATTTAAGACAATTTTATACCCTAGACTAAACTTACTAAAAAAAGTTATTAGACTAAGTTTTATGTACGTATTTATGTTCATGTGACATTGCTTTTTTAACTATTTATGCTCATTTACTTTGTCATTCTATAACCCATAAAGAAAGCATTTTTTTAAACTTTTTTTGACCAAATCCCTTTTAGGTATTTACCATCGCGTAGATTTTGAAAAGTTATATGAAAAAAAAAAACATCCGATTCAAATAATTGAACCACAAGTTATGTCTTTCAAAGTTTACACAAGTTTAGAGTATAAAAAACTTAGATGGAGAATTTGTTCTCAATCGTTTGACCCGAAACACTCATCATAAGTCTATTTATACATGCACAAGACATTAGAACTTGGTTTGAATACAAAATATTCATGGATATTAAAGTTGTCCACTTGCCTGAGTTACTTGAGTAACTCGCAGCTAATGTGTCAAACAAGAACAAATTGATGTATAATTTGAAAAGAGGGCCAAAATGGATATTATTTTTTAAAAAAAGGGCAAAAAGGTCAATCAGCCTACTTCTAGAAAGCATGCATTATCAATTATTTTGATTTCAAGAAAAATTTATAAACAATTAGAAATACAAAATGAAAAAAAAAAACAAGTGTATAGACAATCTGGAGTCAGTTACATTATGAAAAATTAATATATAACAAGATTTTCATATCATTAAATCATTGAATGATTTGGTTTAAAACAATTAGAGTTTCCACTTTAAAAATGACGAAATAAGCCACTAGAATTGGTCTAGTAGTGAGATATTTGAGTGAGTTATATTAGATTGTGTGTTCAATTTTCACATTTATCCAAAAAAGAAGAAGCAAAATATCATGTCTCTCTGAGAGTTTCTATGTGCAAATATATTTATGCAAGCTCCAAATAAACAGTTGTGTCACTCTAAAATTTTAAATTTTGTTGGAACTTTGGATGTAATTTTTAAAAGTTTAAATTTTATATACTGTCAATGTAGATGGTTTTATATAAGTATTAATGATGTGTTAAAATATCATTAAAAAAAGTTAGACTTCCTGAGTTGTAATTGTGATAATCAAAATTTTTAATGGTTTGGCAATAAAGGAATTGATTATAATTTTTAAAAAATTTACAGTCATAGAGTATCAAAATTAATTTTTTTTTATAATAATTTTTTTTGGGAAAAACAATTTTATAATTATTAAATGAATAATTAGTCTTATGATATATTTCAGCTTCTGAATCAATTGTGTAAGCATAATATTTGATAACATTTTGAGAATTTTTCTTTTTTTCTTAAAATATGTTGTGAAATGCAAATTTATGGATGACTTAAATTATATGACCATTGGCACTAATGATACAATTATCCCTCATTTATATTTTTGTAACCTAATAAAGCATCAATTCTCCATTCATGATTGTATCTCTAAATATACATTCTTGTATTGGAAAATGAGAAGTTGAATGAGAATCGAATTTACTCTATTTTTTTTTTGGTACCTAGAATTTACTCTATTTTATCTTCTCTACTCTTTGTCTTCATATCTCTTTCATTCCTTTCCCTTTATTTTATAATAAAATATGAATTTTTTTAAGGTATTTTTTTTTTCAAATTTCAAAATGATGGATGTGCTTTGCCAAATAACTTCATCTTGTAATTTTGGAATTGAAGAAGATAATTTTATCTGTTGATACACTAAACCCTTATTTAAATTAATATAATGGCTCATGTTGTATGGTTAACAAGGCATCGATGCAATCAGATTTACAAGGTACAGTGAACCATGTGCTTTGCCAAATACTCTTGATGGAAAATTCTCTTTTTGACTGGTCACATTCATTGTCATTGCCGTTAGATCAGAGGCCATTTATGTGTTCTCCCACCAATAATTTTATAAAGATCCCATATATACAATGTTTGTCCCTAGCTAGTTGAAGAATCCAAGGTCACTGCACAAACGATACCTTGAGTGTGTCAGATAGAGATGTGTCACAATTATACAATGATTATTGTGAGTTTGAGATCCGAGAAATCCCTTACTTTCATGCACAAAGTTCACTTGTAATTGAAAGAAGAGATAGCAGAAAAAGTTGGTGGCCTTCTATGCATAAAACAACCCTTATTAATTGTTTTTTTTCTACTCTCTTTTGCTAAAGACTGCAAAAGCTCTAAGTGTGGAAACTTTGTCTTCATGCCAATCCTTATTTGCCACTATCTACCTTCTTTCAGAAGCTTTGGGGTGTGGTGGGTTGTCTTGGGCAAGTCACAACTACAATCTATTCAAACAAAAAAAGCTACATTGCCTTTGAAGAGTATGAGCATTTTGAATGTTTATAACGGGTCTCTTTTATTTTTTGAATGATTATAAAGGCTTTAATGACCCTAAAAAGAATAAATTTTTAGTGGGGTCATATGCTTTTCAAATTCTCATTTTTCTTTAACTTTTTTCGTTTGTAATTGATTTTTAGATCTTGTTCTTTAAATATCTTTATTTAAAGAACCTTTTGGTCATCGGGATGAATACTTCAATGATAAGTTGCATATCAACAACCACATAATAATAATAATAATAATAATAATAATAATAATAATAATAATGAATTAGTTATTAATAAACAGGGCATTTATGTTGCACCGACACGGAATACGACACGACACTCCGACACGTTAATTCTAAAAAATGTTAAATTTTGACACGTTAGGACACGTTTTGATATTATATAATATTTTTAATTTATATAGTGTATATTATATTTAATATTCAATAATTTAACAAAAAAATAAAGTTAAACTTATAATACCCATCAATTTTGCAAAGAAACATAAGATATCCCAAATGTTTATATTAAACTCAATAAAATAATAATCGTAATCGAACGAATCTAATAGTTGGAACTCAAAATGTAACGCAACGTAACATTTGAACCTTTTTTGAGTCTTTGCAACGAGTATTGAAGTGTCGGGAAGTGTCAGAGTGTCGATGAGTGTCAGAAAGTGTCGGACACAACACGTTAGGAATTTTGAAGTGTACGTGCTTCGTAGCAGGGCATTTAAGAAAAGTTTATTGATTTGGTGTGAGATTATCCAACTTCATATCTAGAAAAATGATACCATTGTTTGGATAATAATAATACTAATAATATAATAATAATAATGGTGTGTGTGTTAAGAGAGAGAGGGAGAGAGAGAGAGAGAAAAGGAATTGGTTAAAAAGCTTCATATTTATTTCAAACAAAAATATACTCATAAGTTTCTTTTAAAAAGATTCATTCGATTTCTTTCAAAAAGAAACTAAATGTGTTGACATTTTAGTCATATAAACTTTTTTTGTTTTTTTGATAAGTAGTCAACTAGTCATTTAAACTTTTACTCATTTTTTGAAAAAAAGAAAGAAAGATAATTGAATAATTTGATTTTAATGAAAAAAATACGTGTGTTCTGTTTTCATGAATATAACTAGATGATATGACTTTATTACTAACTCTACTCCTTAGTTTAAAAAATTTATTAATCTACCCAAAAAAATTCATTAAAATATATGATTCGTTCATTAAATAATAGTAATAAATTATAACAAAAAAATGAAAAGGTGATTCTAGAATAAAAGGGCTGCTCAATTTTTTTTGTTTGATAGTTTTTTATTGCTTTATATGATGTATTATTTACCCTTTTAATTTTTATTTACTAAATAAAATCATATACTATATATTTTAACACATTTTAATAATTAAAAATAAAATATTAATTAATAAAAAAAGTATATTCTCTATCTTTATTAAAGTTTGCCCATCATTATCTTTTTTCATTAAATTTAATAATCATAAGTTACTAAAACACTTATAAGACTAATTGAATTGATAAAGAGTAGAGCATTTGGTCTTTTTATTCAAAACAAAAATGCATGTGAAAGTTAATATTGTTAATCTCTACATGCTGATGTGTTTGTCTGTGTAACTAAATTTATTTATGCAAGTTCTTAAATCTTACCAAAAGAAAAAAATTATTTAAGTAGGTGTCCATTAATAACACTCAACACAAATTTCACCGTAGTTTAATTAATCAATAAAATTATATATAAATTAAATATTATAAAAAAAACATTTATATTGAATCGGCGAATATTTGAAAATTTAAACCATTGAAAAGAGAAATTCTTCAACCAAAAAAAAAAGAAGAAGAAGAGAAATTCTACTCTCTTTTGGATTAACTCAGTGAAATTTATAAGCTTGAAGAAAGGACAATTTCAATCTTGTCCCCTTCTTTGTCTTTTCAACATGAAGGATCAATTAATCCTATCTTTGCTAGTAATTAAGAATTGGGCCTCTTATCATTTAATTTAATTTGGTTATAGCTTTTGTTTTTCTAACTCACTTTATAGAAGGAAAAAAAAATCCTAATTCACTTATATGCTCCGAGTCGTAATTAACTCCAAGGATGGCTTAATAATGTTAAAATGCAAGTTAAAAATAAATAGAAATTATTACAAAAAAAATAAAAAATAAAAAAATAAATAGAAAACATGTGTTATTTTAT